GATCTGTAAAGTGCAATCTATAGTAAAAGATGTTTGTGAAAAGTAGTTTGACATGTTTAGTAGCATGCTAAAGCCTACCTGACGTGCAACATTGAAAGATTAAGTATACACGTATGTATTTAATAGTATATTCCCCTGTCAGTTTTGCTACGTTTGACTGTATGTAGAACAATATTTAATGTCGTCTTTGCTATGTTCATAATTTATTGGGAGTAAAGAGCCCTAACCTTCAGCCATACTTTGAGAATGCTAGATTGTTCCTCTGTCCAAGTTCCTGCTCTTTCCAGCTCTGCAATTGTTACAATAGCCTATTAAAATCGTATGCAGTGCTACATAGTTTAAACCTCTGAGGATCACCTTGACTTTCTTGGGAGTGTGTGAATATCATAAGTGATAATTGGATTAAAAGAGTATGGGAGAATAATTGAATGGCCTGATCATTAGAGACGAGCTGGAAAACAAAACCCAAATATATGATTGCCTCTGAACTAATGCTGTAAGCCTAAGCACTAAAAGTTGGTCCTAAACATTTTCTATAAAAAGCATAAATAATAATGGCATAAATAGAATAATAAGCATTTTCAGTAGTGTCTTGCATATACCCCACAGTGAGTATTTGTTAAAAGAATGAATAAGTGACATATTGTGGAATCTTTGGGTTGGAAATCTATATTCAATAAAGCTTTACTATAAAGTGCCTGAGATGACATCAAAAATATTAATGAGATTTTAAAGGTGCAAAATTTATTATCAAGTTAGCTAACTACTTTGAGCTAATTCTACAGTTTATTTAATGCATTCATTATGAACAGTCTGTTTCTTAAGTTTTATATTTGATAATATTCTCTCTGATAAAAATTATTTTTTATTGTCTAGGCAGAAGATGGCCAAGGAAAGGTGCCTGAAAAAGTCCTTTCAAGAGAGTCTTGAAGACATAAAGAAGAGAATGAAAGAGAAAAGGAATAAAAACTTGGCAGAGATTGGCAAACGCAGGTCTTTTATAGTTGCACCATGCCAAGCAATCAGTAAGAGATTTTTATGTTGCTCTTTTATATCACTTTTAAAGTTTAGATTTAATAACTGATAAATTTTTTATCCACTTTTAGCCAACACTTCTACACTGCTGAAAAATTACCAAGACAACAACAAAATGTTAGTTTTAGCTTTGGAAAATGAAAAAGCCAAAGTGAGAGAAGCCCAAGATACCATCCTACAGCTGAGAAAAGAATGTTACTATCTCACATGTCACCTACATGCATTGAAAGGAAAACTTAGATCACAACAAACAAAAGAACCTGCTCAGGTATTTTCTTTACTAAGGCCAAATTTCTTAGTTTGGTTAAGCCATGAATTAATAGTTTAGATCAATTATGTTATTTAAATGAATTACTCATAGCTCAATTATGCATGAATTGTTTAAAATGTCCTTCTTTAGTGCTCTAGCACTGCTATTGCATTTGCCCAGTTAAGAAAGCTTCAAGCATATAGGTGTTTGAGGCCTGTTCCTGCCTAATATGGTTCTTAAAGCAGGTAGCAAGACAGGGTGCAGAAGTAGTTTAGCCTTTTGCATTGCTGGTCCATTTGAATGTTCAACTAAGTGAGTCAAAGTTTCTTATTTTTTTGCTATATCCAGTGGGGTTTTATAAGAACTACCTTTGTTTGGGTCATAGGGAGTATTTTTAAGTGCTTTTTGGAGAATCGTTTTTACCTACTTTTTGGCTAAATAGAGAAGACTATAATTCCCAGACATGTAATGTCATAAACATTTCGCTCATCAAATTTTTAATCTGATTCCCTTTGTGTCTACGATTATAAAGAAGGTGTTCAATTATGGTCCTGCTAGCCAAAATATAACAGATATGGAGAAAGTTTGCTTTAGGAGATTCTTTGTGTCTCACTGTACTATTGTGTATCATTGTGTACACAGTAATGTGTATTATTACTTATGAAAAAAGTAATGATGAGAGCTAGTTTATTTTTCCCTTTTCCCAGAAGCCACTGCCAGGGAAATGTGGCAGAGAAAGAAAAAAAGCAGTGGCAAGTGTCAGATATTAACAGAACATTTAATTTCTTCCCAGTGGCCATTGGTTTGCTGTGCCAGTGAAAACAGTTGAGTTGGCACTTAGGCCTGAAGGTCAGATAAGAAAGCAAGAATATAATGATTAGGGTAGGGATATAGGGGCACAGTGGGAGGAAGTGAGGGGTGGGAGGAGGAGGGGGCATGGGAGGAGGCAGGCAGGTACTTGAGAATGGAATTCAAGTCAGTTCTTGCCTCCCTATTGATTCCCTTTTTTGTTCTCCATGTGATTTAAACACGTGTAATATATACATACACAGGCAATAAGTACATATATGGTATATTTGAAAACTGCCTCTATAAAAATTAGGTATGTTTTCTTTACCTTCATGGGAGGGTTAGATTTTATTTTTTCTTTTTGAGACAGAGTCTTGCTCTGTCACCCAAGCTGGAGTACAGTGGCGCAATCTCAGTTTACTGCAGCCTCCGCTGCCTGGGTTCAAGCGATTCTCTCCCTCAGCCGCCCAAGTAGCTGGGATTATAGGTGTGCGCCACCACACCTGGCTAACTTTTATTTTTTTAGTAGAGATGGGGTTTTGCCATGTTGGTCAGGTGTCTCAAACTCCTGGCCTCAAGTGATCCACCCAACTCAGCCTCCCAAAATGCTGGGATTACAGGTGTAAGCCACCATGCCTGGCTTAGAGTTCTTTTTTTTTTTTTTTTCCTTCCAGAATATAGTGTTTTCTAATTTTTTCTTTTCCTTGTTCAGTCAACTAGTAGGGGGAAACAATTCCTCCAAAGGCATTTGGTTACTTAACCTCCAAATTCAGTGGTTACTTCTCTTTCTTCTTGATCTTCCAGTAATAATATACAAAACAGGGACCATTTTTTACTTGAAATACTTTGATCTCTTAGATTTCATGATATTATGCTTCCCTGGTTTTCTTTCTACTTTTCCGACTGTCCCATGTCAGTCTTTTCTGACTTCTTCCTCAGTCTACCTTTACATGTCAGTTGTTGGCCAGGCACATTGGCTCATGCCTATAATCTGAGCACTTTAGGCGACTGAGGTGGGAGGATCGCTTGAGCCCAGGAGTTCAAGACCAGCCTGGGCAATACAGCAAGACCCCCATCATTACAAAATAAAAAATAAAAATTAGCCAGTTGTGGTGGCATGAACTTGTAGTCCCAGCTACTTGGGAGGCTGAGGTAGGAGGATTGCTGGGGCCCAGGAGTTCAAGGCCTCAGTGAGCTATGATAGCACCACTGCACTTCAGCTTGGGTGACAAAGCAAGACTGTATTTCAAAAAATGAATGAATGCCAATTGTTGCAGACTCATCTTATTCCCTCTCATAGCTTTATGTACTGTCTGTCTGCTAATGCCGTTCTAGTTCATAGTTCAAAATCTAAAAACAAACACGTATACACACACAGCCAGTATTTGATATCTCCACTTAAACATTTACGAGGTATCTCAAACATACCTTATATAAAGCGCCTCCCCCAAAGATACTGTATACTTCCTACCTTCCTTTATAAGTCTTACTCATCTCAGTGAAGTAGCCTACCCATTTGTTTAGGCCAAAACCGTAAGAAGCTTCCCTCTCCCTCATTGTTCCCACCTCCATCCCTTTTCAGTCCTTGAGCTTGACCTGTCATCTCAAGGCCTTCTACTGGGCTTCACCTCCATCGTCATGACTCTAATCTCAGCTGATATCATGTCTTGCCAGATTTGCTATGGTGACCTCTCAACCCTTTCTACCCCCGACCTCTTTCAATCCATGCTTCAAAGTGTACAGGCTGATCTTTTAAAATCTTAAATCATTTTACTTCCTTTCTTAATATTAAGTACCTTCCCATCACACTTAGACTAAAGTCTAAACTCATGGCTCTCAAGGCCCTACATGTACCTCTCCTACTGTTCTCAGTGACTGTGTTCCAACCACAACAGCCTTTCTTGCCTAAATACAGCAAGATTTTTCTTATGTATATTTGCTGTTTCCACTGCCTTCTTTTCCTCCTGCTCTTTCAGTGGCTGGCTCCTTTGCAGACTTCTGATTTATTTCAGATTCATTCTATTTAAAAGAGCAATCCAACCGGAGTTATTCTCTGTCACCTCACCCTGAGTATTTCCTTCATGGCACTTATTGCAATCTGAAATTTTGTACATATATCTTCTCTTATTAAAATTTTATTTCCTTGCACTAGATTGTAAATGTTAAGATTGTGTAAGTGTTAATCTAGTGTTAACTAGATTGTAGTTACAATCTAGGGCAAGGAAATAAAATTAAGAGTTAAGAGGATAAGACTTATTTCGTTTTTGAGCTATTATTGTCTCCGTTCCTAGCACCATGCGTGGCACCATGATAGACTGTCAGTAAGTGCATATTGTTGAATAAATTAATGCTTTCTTATGCATACTTCAGTTATAACAGTGTTTTGTTTTAATACGTTAACAGAACCAGGAAATATACTCTTCTGGAATGGACCCCAATAGTGATGACAGCTCCAGAAATTTATTTGTGAAAGATTTACCGTTAGTATCAAATTCTTTATTATGATTACTAATACTAAGAAAGATTTAATTCTGCGATTCATTTATAAAAGGAAATGTCCATCATGTTAACTCGTATATTTGCAGTCTGATGCTTTCTTTGTTAAGAATATATTTAAGAGAATTTGATGTATTGAAATTCTGTCACATATAGCCAAGCTAAAACTTTTTCTGATCTTTCACTCCTTTCTTGATGCCTAAAAGAATCCTTACCAGAATTTTTAATTCTTCTTCATACTTTCCTTCAGTCATGTTTTTCTATGTACCATGTTCTTACTCTAAGAAGGATTCGTTATTGAAATGAGGTATTTTGCCAGCTCTATGAATAGTCTGGTTCAGAAAATAAATAAATAAAACATATTTAGCACAGCTGTCACACTGTCTTGCTGATCCAGTTCATTTTTCTAGACCCTATATACCCTCTTTCCTTCTCTTGGATCAAAGTACTTTATTTATTTATGAATTATTAAGATTTAATTATAAACAGTAAAATGAACAGATCTCAGTTACACAGTTTGATGAGTTTGACTAATGTTTGTATCTGTGGAACTAAAATTTCAATTAAGACATAGTGTTTTTACTATTAACATTGTGGGCCAGATAATTTGTTGTTGTAGAGGGCTATCTGTGCATGGTGGGACGTTTAGCAGCATCCATTGCCTCCACCCAATGAATCCCAGTAACATCCCTCAGGAGAATCAAAAATGACTTCAGATATTGCCACATGTTCCCTGGAGAGCATAATTGCCCTTGGATGAGAACTACTGCCATAGACAGTTCTTTCATGTCTCTTTCAAGTCCATACCCTTCTCCAGAAGTAACGCTAAGATGATTTCTGTCTGTATAGATTACTTTTAATCAGTAGTTTTTAAACTGTTGGACTTTAAGATCTGACAAAAATCTTTATGTTGTGGGCATAAGGTAAAATAAGGTAATTGCGTTTGTAGAAGATTTCTAAGTAGTTATTAGTTACCACAGCCATTACCTAAATCTGTTTAATGTCTAGAATGGAAAATTCTCTATAGAGAATAAAGAATATAATTACAATTAGAATGAAACTGCCAGAAATAGTGTTAGAGTATAAAGAACACTTCATGTTTCATGAACCAAAGAACAACATTTTTAAAGAAAATGAACAATGTTAGCTTCAGAAGAGTTCAATAGTTAAGCACCACAAAAGCATGTATTACCAACAGTTAACAGCTCTGCTAATGATAAAGCAGGCTTCTGAAGAGTAATCAAACTACATTTTTTAAAAAGTAAATTAATTCTCATTGGCTGTTTCCTTAATTAAATGAAATTGAGTTATATAATGTTTTCAGGTGGAACTATCCAACTCGATTGGTTAGTTCTTCAAGGAGTTGAATGTCATTAGTAACAAATCAACCTCCCTGTAATCAGCATAAGTGTTCTTTGGTTTCCTTTGATACATAATAGATGTACTGATTAAAATGATACTAAAGGAAAGAAAAGTACTAATTTAGGAAAATATTGAATTTGTTTTTATTACGCAATTGTTCAATTTCTTTTTTTCATTGGTATTTTCCAAGGCAAATTCCTCTTGAAGAAACTGAACTTCCAGTACAAGCAGAATCATTTCAAATAGAAGGTAATTCAAGTGAAAATCTGAAAATATTGCTAAGGGCAAGATAAGGTCTTTGAGAACAAATAATATAAATTTTTCTAATTTTTTAAAAACTTTTTAAATGTATACATCTGGTATTATGCTCAAAGCAAATCTGTTTATTTTACACAGAATAATAGAGTTTTAAAAATGTATCTATTGTGTCAAATCTGTAATCTGAAACTTTGGCTATAACTATGGCAGCAATTTACTGATTGCTACTACGTGTCAAGCTCTATGTTAGGCATTTTACATGCATAATCTCATTTAACCCACACTTAACTTGGGAATATAAGTACAGCTAGTCCCATTTTATAGGAACTCAAGAAGAAAAAGTACCTCACATGAAGAAGTCTACATGTTAAGAGCTAGGATTTAAAATCAAATATGAACTCCAGAGCCATCCCCTTCTTACCTCTTTTAAATTGATACGTCTGCCTTCTCAAATGTCAGTCTCCTCCACTTGAGCTAAGCTTCAAAGAGGGCATAACATTTGAATAAGCAAAACCAGACAAATACCCTCACCTTTCCTTAAAATACAGATTATTTTTCTTACCTGAGAAGCTTTCTAGTTACCCAAATTTTATTTATTTTTCAAAGAAAAGTTTTGTTCCCTCGCCAGTCTATGGACCTGACCAGGAGGTCCCACTTTTGTCCCACTTTGGAATATGAGGTTCTGCTTCTCTGAATCTGTACTCAATGATACAGACTATTCATTTTCTTTAAAACAAAAGCACATAAAAGCACTTTATAATATTTTTAAAGATTATAAAGATTGAGCGTCCCTTATCAAAAATGCTTGGGACCCGAAGTGTTTTTGGTTTATTTTAAATTTTGGAATATTTGCATTATATCAGTTCATCATCCCTAATTTGAAAATCTGAAATCCAAAACCCTGCAGTTAGCATTTCCTTGGAGCATCATGACTGCACTGAAAAAGTTTTGGATTTCAGATTAGGGATACTGAACCTGTACAAGATTATTTTACATGTCACATATAAGCTATCAGCTGATCATTGACAAGTAAATAGATGGTAATACTTAAGTTCCCCAGATTTTTATTTACAAATTTTATAACGTAGAAAAACTACAGAATGACTTTTTGGTCATTGAGTTTTTTACTTTGAATTGTAAAATTCTTGAAATTCAAATTTCCACAGTGTTTTTCTCATTTATTTTTTAAATTCTCAGACCGGATACCTACTATTCCTCAAGACACGCTGGGATATGATTTTGATTCAGGTGAAGCTAAGTCCACTGATAATATCTTACCTAGAACTGTATCTGTCCGTAGAAGTTTAAAGAAACATTGTAGTAGTGTATGTCCGTTTGATAGCTTGGATGATTTTGGTTTTGAAACCAGTCATTTGGCAGGGAAGTCTTTTGAATTGGAAAGAGTTAGATTTTTAGATCCACTAGTAAAGGTGCACATACCTCAAAATGTACAACACAATGTTTGTCACTGGAACACAGACCAAGTTAACTTACCACCAAAGCTGATTCAGCCAGCAACATTTACTAAAACAAAAGAAGACTTTTTAGAATCTAAATCCGAACAAACTAAAAGTAAGCAAAGAGATGCACAAGAAAGAAAAGGAGAAGAGAAAAGAAAAGCTAACAGGAGAAAATCAAAACCTATGTCAAAATATAAAAAAAATAAAAGCAAAAATAAAAAAACTGTTTACAAAAAAGAAATGCACAAATCTTCCAATGATGCTTACAACTTCAATTTGAAAGAAGGTGTTCATCTTACTCCTTTCCGACAAAAAATGAGCAATGACTCTAATAGAGAAGAAAACAAGTCTGAAGTGAGCATCTGTGAATCAAGTGGTTCAGGAGATGATTCCGATGACCTCTATCTGCCCACTTCCAAGTGCATTCAGAATCCCACCAGTGATTCAGATAGACCAGTCACCAGGCCTCGATCTAAAAGAGCACTGAAATACACGGATGAAAAAGAGACAGAGGGTTCTAAGCCAACAGAAACTCCTACCAGTAAGTGATCTACTTGTTTGCCTGCGTTTTTAATGTTTATGATAAATGATCACTACTGATGCTTATATACTATACTTACCATCTGTTTCTCTGGTGGAGGTTAGAGACTACCATCTGTCTCTCTTTGGGGGAAGTTATGGTCTGATTAAATAGTTGGGGGGCTGGGTGTGGAAATCACAGTTGTATTGCTCTGACCTAATTCAGAGATTACTTGTTACGGAGTCAGAATTTTTATTTTCAGTAAATGAGGACTTCCAAGGAGACAGAGGGACTTTTTTGTGGAGTTAGGTTGAATTAAAAAGTAGCTTTTATGCACTTACGTGAAATATCTTCTTGAAAGTGAAATCATATTTGAATCCAGTGACTTATTTTAATGTTTTGTTTTGTACTAAATTTGACAGAAACTATGATTTAAAATAATTTTCTAGTTAGTGAACATGGCCTAATGAAAGCAAGAAACTATTTACTCAATTAATAGGCCTAGTGTTCTTTTGTATGACATCTCTAAAACTGGCTCAGAAAATAAAATAAAAAATCTTTTATTAGATCGAAAGTCGGCATAGTCCAAATGTTCATAATACAACCTACACCTATCCACCAAGGTTCTCATTTGGCAATTTTAGTTAATACAAGTAAAACTAGCATGTAGTCAAGTTGTATCATTTTCAAAATATTGTCACATCATTTTATTTGATACTCAGAACAAATTCTGTGAAGTATAGGTGTTATGTAAGCTTATTTTGTTTGTAAGGAAATTAAAACCTTAAAAAGTGAACCAACTTTCTAAATTAGCCAGTTAGTGGTAGCAGGCAAATATCTTTTCTTTTGTTTTGTTTTGATTTTTTTGAGACGGAGTCTTGCTGTATCGCCAGGCTGGAGTGCAGTGGCACAATCTCGGCTCACTGCAACCTCTGCCTCCTGGTTCAACCAATTCCCCTGCCTCAGCCTGCCAAGTAGCTGGGACTACAGGCACACACCACTATGCTCGGATAATTTTTTATATTTTAGTAGAGACAGGGTTTAACCATGTTGGCCAGGATGGTCTTGATCTCTGGACCTTGTGATCCACCCCCCTTGGCCTCCCCAAGTGCTGGGATTATAGGCATGAGTCACCGCGCCTGGCCCAAATATCTTTTTTAAAAATATACCGTAGGCCGGGCGCGGTGGCTCACTGCGTTGCCATTGCACTACAGCCTGGGCAACAAGAGCAAAATTCCATCTCAAAAAAATAAATATTTATATATATATACACACTGTAATGATGTTAGAATCAGTCAAACAACGTTGGCAAAGTGTTGATAATTATTGAACTTGGGTAACTCAGAGTTTATTATACTGTTATTGCCATCTTCATGTACATTTGAAAATGTCCAGAACAAGTTGGAATTTTTTGTTTTTTTCACTTTTTAATTGAGACACCCAGGCTGGAGTGCAGTGACATGATCACGGCTCACTGCAGTCTCAACCTCCCAGGCTCAAGTGATTCTTCCATGTCAGCATCCCCGGTAGCTGGGACTACAGGCATGCACCACCACAACTGGCTAATTTTTTTGTTAACTTTTTGTAAAGACAGGGTCTCACTGTGTTGCCCAGGCTGGTCTCGCAAATTCCTAGGCTCAAGCGGTCCTTCTGCCTTGGCCTCTCAAAGTTCTGGGATTATAGATATGTGAGCCACCACACCCAGCCCATAAAAAATACGTTTTTAAAAGAAAAAATATATACTCTAAAATAGTATTACTCATATTTTGACCATAGACTTTTTCTTAGAATGCAGAATCTCAGGCCATACCCCAAACCCTGGAGTCAGAATCTGCATCTTTTTTTTTTTTTTTGAGATGGAGTTTCACTCTTGTTGCCCAAGCTGAAGTGCAGTGGAGCGATCTCGGCTCACCACAACCTCCACCTCCCATGTTCAAGTGATTCTTCTGCCTTAACCTCCCAAGTAGCTGAGATTACAGGCATGTGCCACCACACCCGGCTAATTTTGTATTTTTAGTAGAGATGGGGTTTCTCCATGTTGATCAGGCTGGTTTGCTGGTCTCAAACTCCCCACCTCAGGTGATCTGCCCACCTCAGCCTCCCAAAGTACAGGGATTATAGACATGAGCCACCGTGCCTGGCCAGTCTGCATCTTTTTAAGAAGTTCTCCAGTGGATTCATATACATATTAAAGTTTGAGAAGCATTTTTCTAGAATACAGCAATTGATCTGATATTATATAATACGTATTTCCCAGCTGGGCACGGTGGCTCAAGCCTGTAATCCCAGCACTTTGGGAAGCTAAGGTGGGCAGATCACGAGGTCAAGAGATCGAGACCATCCTGGCCAACATGGTAAAACCCCGTCTCTACTAAAAATACAAAAATTAGCTGGGCGTGGTGGCGTGTGCCTGTAGTCCCAGCTACTTGGGAGGCTGAGGCAGGAGAATTGCTTGAACCCGGGAGGCGGAGCTTGCAGTGAGCCGAGATTGTGCCACTGCACTCCGGCCTGGCGCCTGGCGACAGAGTGAGACTTTGTCTCAGGAAAAAAAAAAAAAAAAAGACATTTTTCCCAAACTGAAAGTTGGAATAATTAGTACAGTACAGTATACTTACGTGGCAACAAAAAAGACAGACTATAAAACCCAGATAACACTGGAGCATATGGCTCTTAGTGTACAGTCATTTCACAGTTATAGTTTACCTTTATGGAGATATAGTTTGCTTTGTAAAGCTATTTGAGATTGTCTTGTAGTGTCCTTACTATGTGTTGGACATTTGCCTCCCAAATAGGTATAGCTCCAAAGTATAACTTGGATGTTTATGATGGGAAAAACACTGAGTAACTTTTTAACATGCTAACTTTCCTCCTGGTTTACACAGAGGCTGTTATTTAGCATTTTCATTTACTTAATAGAAGGAATTTTAACAGCTTTATAAGACTATAGGAATACACTTGATAATAAACCTTGGTATTGATAAAGAGAGAAGACTTTATTCTAAATAGCAAGGTGTGACTAAAATAAAATTCCATGGCTAAACTCATTATGCCCAAGCTATTCTAGAAGAATTTTACATTTTAGTAATGTGTTCTATCAGTTCTTCATATCTATTATAATTACTATTTCAACACTGAAAGGAAGAGAAAAAAATGATGACAAAGCTAAAAAAAAAAAAGATATTATTGGGCATGGTGGCATACACCTGTAATCCCAACTGCTTGGAAGGCTGAAGCTGGAGGATCGCTTGAACCCAGGAGGCACAGGTTGCAGTGAGCTGAGATCACACTGCTGCACTTCAGCCTGGGCAACACAGTGACATCCCGTCTCAAAAAAAAAAAAAAAAAAAATTTAAAAAAAAGTGCTGGATTTTGTATA